GCCCGAGTTTGAGGCCGTCATCGCGGGCGTCACGCTGACGCCAGCGCACGGTAATTCAAATTTTTTTTACTGTTGGCGCGTGAATTACACTCGCCAACGGTAAAAAAAATTTGACTTCCGTGCACTGGCGTCAGCGTGACGCCAGCGATGACGTCACCTCCTGACAGCTCTAACGGGCGTGTGCCACGTGGCGCGACGGGGACTCTCCGATGGATTTTTTCCAGAAATCCGACGGTCCTCGTTTTTTTGGCTAAAAAAATTGCAAAAAAATGAAGTTCGCTCATATGTGGAGAAAAATTCATGGAGAATTTTGTGAAAGATCGAGTTTGCCTCGGATTGAAATGACCTTGGCTAGTAGATGGAAAATTCTGAATAAAGAGTTAGGGAAATTTAGAGATGCCTCGGAGGTCCTTAGCCGTAGGTTTGTGAAGGTACTCCCTCTTGTAGAGATTTGCTACTGCATCACAGAATCTCACCAAGCACTCTAGGATATTTGATTTTCCCATCCGCGCAATCTCATCGACCTGCTCTGCAAATGCCCCGTAAGCAAGCATCTGCAAAGCAGCTGTAAGTTTTTGCTCCGGAAGAAGACTCAAAACCCTAACAGCATCTTACAAATATCATGCATGATTTTTTGGAACAAATGTGGCTGCATCCTATATCTCTCTCGAAACTTAGAAACATGATATAACGAATTTAGGATAAAATAATCCTCCAAGAGATTCTTACCCCGAGACTCCCTACGTCTGTCCACATTCGTGGCACGACGACGACGACGTCCCGATCTTCTTGAGCACGTCTACGCCAGATTTCTTCCCTTTGTTTCTGTTGCCTCTCCAACACCCTCGACAAGTTTGACATTGAGAGTAGAATGTGTTTTCTAAAATCTGATAAATGAAGGAATAGATAAGAGATGTGTGAGAGGTATGAGTTGATGGTGTAGTTTTATAGAGGGATTTAGAAGATAGAGATGACACGTGGCACAATTTTAAAGGATGAAAATCTTATCTAAAATATGAGATTATAATTTTTTTAAAATATCTGAAATCTTATCTGACATGGGACACGTGACACAATTTTAGAGGGTGAAAATCTTTTCTAAAATATGAGATTATAATTTTTTAAAAATATCTGAAAATCTTATCTGACATTGGACACGTGGCACAATTTTAGAGGGTAAAAATTTTATCTGAAATCTGAGATTATAATTTTTTTTTAAATATCTGAAAATCGTATCTGACATGAGACACGTGGCATAATTTTAGAGGGTCTTGTGGGTGGAGATGCTCTTAGGCTCATGGATTATTTTAGGGTTTAGGTTATGTTGGGTATGTGGGCTTTATTTGGGCTTATGGTTAATTATGGTGATGTGAGCTAGTAGTTTTAATGCGGCTTTTGTCCGCTTTAGTTTTGTTTTTAACATGTTATTTTGTTGCCCTATGTGGATTGGTACTTTCGATGGCTTGTTGATATCTTTGATTGTACTATTAAAGTTTATATTTGATAATAAATAAATTAATTAAAAAACTTATTTCCCTGAAGTTTATAGTGTTAGAAATATTGGGATGTGTAGTTTCCCATATCATAAAATCAAACCAAAATAAAATTAATATCTTTTTAACACAAAAGCCTAATGGGTTTGACCCTCACGAGTTGAAGTGTTTCTGGCAGTGCAAAATGAACTCCCACCTCTTCGTCCCATGAGGACAAAATCCAAAGATCCTAAGAAATACTATTTTTTACCATCATGACAATGGTTATACTACAGAAAAATGCTAAGAGTTGAGAAAGACCTATGAACAACTTGTTTGCCAAGGAAACCCCAAGATTTCTCATTTCGCATAAATCCCCCAACAATAGATCGATCCACCAATGGTAGGGTTGACCTCCATAAACATAACAGGGCCCCCAATCCTACCCATTTCTTGTGGCCACACCCTTACAAAGGACTCCAATAGAGCGCGAAAAGAATATGCTCGCGACATGCACCAAGTGTTAGAAGGCTTATCCTTAGGACAGGGCATCGCTTGTAAACACCTAAATCGATGTTGGGGAACCATAACCTTCAGAGAGGAGGAAGCAAGAGATGTGGTAACTCTACATGATGATCCCTTGGTCATCACGACGACCATCGGAGATCATCACGACGACCATCGGAAACTACGATCTTAGCCATATTCTCATTGACACATGTAACTCATTGAACCTACTCTTCTACCAGGCTTATCATGAGCATATATGCACAACCTTAGTAGTGTAATGAAACTTGTTGCTACCATTTTAGTCGGACTCGCAGGAAAATAGTCTACTCTTATGGGGCGAGTCAGCATTTACTTTGGTTAAATATCCTACCTACGGCGAGGGTACTTATCGCCACTTAAGAGATGTTTAGCACCTAGCAAAGGAGACTTGGTCGTAAAGGAGCTACACGAAGGTCTATGTGGATTGCACTCAGGGGCAAGATCACTTGTGCACTGAACCTTAAGGCAATGATACTTCTAGGCGACCATGAAAACCAACGCTAAAGAGTTTGTCCGAAAGTGCAACAAATGCCAGATCATGGCGACAGTCCGTCATTAACCTCCCATACCACTCACGATTATCAACATGCCCTAGCCATTTGCCCAGTAGGGGATTCAACTGATCGGGCCTTAAATTAAGGGAAATTGAGGAGTGAAGCATGCCATCATAGATGTTGACTACTTCACCAATGGGTGGAAGCCAAAACTTTAACCACCTTAACAGAACAACAGACTATTGTAAATTTCAGATAACACGAAAACATATTTTATTCCAAACACAAATTATACTCGCATGTGCACAAGATCAATCGTAATTTAGCATGGCAAGTATAAGGTCACTCCCACTAAGATTAAGTTTAACTTCAAATTAATTTAACCTAATTCACTTCACAAAACACTCTAACTAATCTAATTAATATAAACGAGAAATCAAACATATAGCATTCTCGCGTAAACACATATAGGGTTTCTGAATGAGTGATTTAATAAACTAAAACAACGAAATTAAAGGACAAAACGAGTTGAAAAATCAAAGCACACAAAGACAATACATTCAAATTGATGAAAGCACTAGGACAATGAATTCACCACTAGTAATGCAATGTATAGCCTCTTATTCACCTACCTATTAACAAACCAATTGATGTTGCCGCTTTGTTTTCCTTTTTCATAAATTACCTATGGTATTTAGGCTAACCTAAATATTTCTACATGCAATTCGCCTATGGTATTAAGATCAATGAACACCTCAAACAAGCATGTAAACCCTAGGAGCATGGTATTTACTCTAAAAGAATTACAAATCTTAATCACAAGAAGTAGCCTCAACTTAAGTATGGCATTTACTATAATTTTCAGAGCCGGTCCTGGGTTTTCTAAGGCCCAGGGCAAATTTTCTTAAGTGTGCCCTTTTATACAAATTAAATACTAAAATTTTAAAAATATATTTATTCACTAATTAATTTTATTAAAATTATAAGAATTTACAAAAGATAAGGAAGAACACGTGCCTCATTAAAATCTTATTTAGGAAAAACCCAATGGGACAAAACTCCAAATGAAAGAAAAAGAGTACCCCGCATTGTAAACGTTGCATTCAAAACACAAAAACTACATATTTGAGTCTACATGCTTCCTCCCCAATCTCTGTAAGCATTTCTTGATTTCATCAATCTTCTTGGATCAAAACTACTCCAAACTCGTGGATTATAAATGTTCAAATCAAATTTGATTACGGGACATTCATTTCCATGGCAAGGTTCATCAATATTTTCATTTTCATCATGGAAAAGTTCATCAATATTTTCATTTTCATCTAGATCACCAACTTCTTCATTCACATCATTCTCATTTTCTGCTAATTCTTCCAATTAAATTGGTTGTTCATATTCATTTGGTAAATCTCCATCTAAATTTTCAAGTGAAACATTGGTTTGTTTAACAAAATATTTATTCAAAGATCCTCTTAAAATTTGAGCAATTTCTTATTATTATTATTTTTTTGTCTCTTGAGATTCCATAAAGTTGTTTCTCAGGAAATATTTTTTAATTTTTATAAGAAACACAACACAATAAACAATAATAAAACTAATTAACAAAGAACAATAAAACCTGGATTTTAAGCATATTTTCTTCAACTTGAAACTTCTAATTATAAAGAACAAGAATCCCAACCAAGTTTTCTGTTGAATCAAATAATAAATAAAAAAGTTAATAAAGATATGTATTACAATTTACAAAAAAAATTGCATCTAGATCTCTATATCTATCTAAATAAAAATAAAAAAAAATAAAAAATTACCTTCTAGCTTGTGGATGATTTGTTTTCCAACTCTGTGTTGGAGAAGACGAGAATCACCAAAATAAATAAATAAATAAATTGCTTGCGTTATGAACTTCTTCGTTGAACTTCTTCTTTTTATGACTAAGAAGGTCTGTTGATTACTTGATTTCCCCATGTTTTTTCGATCCTTATTTTATATTATATTATATAATTAATAAATAATAATTAACTTTGCTTCCTTCCTCTATACGTTTATTGAGATTGAGAGAATATTAAAAGTGGTTGGAGATTGATTTGGCTTCCTCTTTGGTACAGGTACGGTTTGGCTTCTCTCTTTTATTATTATTATTATTATTTTTTACATACACATACGCATAGGCGTTGAAAAACAATTGGGCCCCCCTCAACTTTGGGCCCTGGACTGTAGCCCTGTTAGCCCTGGCTCAAGGCCGGCTATGCTAATTTTCATAAGATAAACTCAATTAAAAATCTAGATGGTGATCAAGCATTAAGATAATCAATCAAATTATTAAACACAGTGATTAAAAATCCAACATCAAACAACAATCAATACATAGACAAAATAAGAA